AGCCAGGACCCAAATCCATCCCAACTCGGGTGTTCAGATCTCAAGGCAGGCAGGTGCTGGGGGAGGAAATTGGAGCAGGAAGGCCCACCCCTGCCCAAAAGTCTTCCAGAGCCTTTGCACCTCCCCTGGTGAGAGGTCCTGCACTTACTGATTTGCGGGCGGCTCTGAGGCCGAAGGCTCCTGCTCATGGGGCCACTGGCACATGCCCACTCTGGGTTCCCCCGCTCCATGTCCTGCTTCCAGGAGTTCCTAAGAGAGCAGAGAAAGCAAAAATTATCCCTCGAAAGAGCTAAAAGTGGGAAGAGGAAGGAGGAAGGCAGGAAGTGCAGTAGGGAAGAAGGTAGGCCAGGGGAGACTAGGAACAGAGAGGAGAGGAACCCGGGATGGTTAGAGCAGCTTCAAAACTGCCCGGAACCTCCATCCCTGGAGAAACCCACTGCAGGATGGGAGGACTCTTGGAGTGAATGTGTCAGTAGCCCCTGGACAGAGGAAGAACAGTAGCAGAAGCTGGCTGAGAAGGGTCCTGGCTGGCCATCCAGGCCACCATCCAGGACTGGCACTCACAGGGTAGGGGCAGACAGGAAGCAACAGGTTCGAGACTCAGGGTCCCAGGCACAGTGGGGATCCCGGGCAAGGACACAGTCCACACAGCTCTCATAGACGCTACAGTTGGCTCGGGGCACCCTCCAGACACCTCCTGAGAAGCCTACAAACACTGCACCCTGGAGGAGAGATGGAGATTGTCAGGGAGCCCCAGCCACATCTAGTAAAGTCCCAGCACGCCGGTGCAGGCCCAGGGAGCCAGCCCAACAGGCCCCCAGGGCCAGCCCCACTGGAAGGCCATCTGATAGTCAGGTCCCTTCCCACCTGGGTGGGGGCCAGCTGCAGGTTACGAACAGGTTCGGGGTCAGGGAACAGCTGAATCTCTTCCACCAGATGAGCACCGCTGTCCCCACTCACCACAGCCTTGTGGAGCGACCCTGTGGCTATGGGGAGACAGAGAGAGCAGAAGTCATCTCACCTCATCCACAGATCCCTTCCCAACTTCAGTGGGCCTCCCCAGCTGTAAGAAAGCGCCTTCTGAGGGTGATGTGTACTGGGCACGGGCCAACCAGACCGTTCACCTTCCTCTCTGCCATGGAGATGGCAGTCTCTTGTAAATGGCTAAAATCCCTTGGACCCCTGTCCTTCCTTTGCAACTCCCTGACAAAACTTTATCCCTGGAGAAACCCAACTATTTCTCCATAGGCATGAAACAGTGGGCGGCTGGGTGCTTCTGTAGAAAATCACATCACCTGCCTCCTTCACTTTCATCAAGCACCTCAGGGAGGTCTACCTGGCCACCCTTTTAACAGGTGCAACCTCCTTACCTGGCATCCCTGATTCCCCTGCACACACCTCTACATGACTCAAATCTCATGATGTGCCACGTAATTTACTTATTAAGGATGCTATTGTCTGTCTCCATCCACTCCACAGACTGAGATTTTTGACTGTTTTGTTCTCTGCTGTATACTCAATACATGCACAGCTGATACAGTGCCTAGTAATATGGCCTGAAGGAATAAATGAGCTTGGCAGATTTCTTCCACTGACCCTCAAGGTTATCCTCAGCCAGGCCCTGCCTGAGCAGTCGGCCTGGGCAGTCTTGCAGCATTCCCTGCTGACTCCCTCTCCCCCTTTCCACAATGGCTACTTTGTTTTTTGGGTTTTTTTTAGACAGAGTTTCACTCTTGTCGCCCAGGCTGGAAGGCAGTGGCACAATCTTGGCTTATTGCAACCTCTGCCTCCCGGGTTCAAGTGATTCTCCTGCCTCAACCTCCCGAGTAGCTGGGATTACAGGTGCGTGCCACTACACATGGCTAATTTTTTTGTATTTTAGTAGAGACGGGGTTTCACCATGTTAGCCACGCTGGTCTCGAACTCCTGACCTCAGGTGATCCACCTGCCTCGGCCTCCCAAAGTGCTGGGATGACAGGCATGAGCCACTGCACCCAGCCCACAATGGCTATTTGAATCTACCCCTCTCTCCTCAAACTTCCCACCTTTCCTGCCCCCTCACTCCCAGATCATGACCTTGTGTCCTCCACCTACATAGAGAACACAAAAGTCTTCAAATAAGAGCTCCCTTGGCTTCTGCCCCCTGAACCTGCACACCCACCAAGTCACACCACGCTGCTACAACTTCACTCCCAGCCCAGCTCAGGTGCTGTCTCCCCGCCACCCACAGCTGCTCAGCTCCACATGTGTCCTGGACTCTGGCCGCCTGCTCCCTCCACAAATTTACCTGCCATGTATCCCTTCTTCTACCCATCTCTTTGCCATCCCCCTGTCTACTAGATGCTTAGTCCTTCCTGTCTATAAAACAAGAACCCTGGGGGCAAGGAGGGGGAAAAACAAAACCAAGAACCCCAGCTGGGCCCCACTCCCTGCTCCCGCCACCATCTCCTTCCTCTCTCCCCTCACAGCTGAGTTTCCTGAAGGAGTGATCTCTACAATGCGGTTTCCAGCTCCCCTCCACCCACTCACCTTTCAAAATTCCTCTAACATAGCTTCCCCCCTAAGACACACAGCTCTTGATAAGGCCACCAAAGACCTCCCTGTCTGCCTCCCCCACCACACAAAGCTCAGGAAGGGTAGGGAGTGGACTGTTTTGCTCCTCTGCTGTATTTCCAAAACCTAGAAGAATGCCAGGCACATAGCAGGTGCCCAGTAAACAGCTGTTGAATGAATAAATGAATGAACTCAAGGGTTTCCCTCCTCAACCTGGGGGCAGCCTCTGCTCTAGTCCTCTGGGGGATGTCCCGGAACTCTTTACTCACTGGTTCCCAGGTACATGACAAGATGGCTGCGCCCATCAAGGCCCTGGGCTGTCTCCACTGCAAGCCGTGTATACTCCACACCAGATTTCACCAGCAGGGGCGTCCCCACCACCTGCTCATCCATCAGGAAATGGTCCTTCATGAAGGTCAAGGCCTTATCAGAGGAGGGGCCCACCGAACACTAAAGGAGGAGGGAGGCAGATCAGGTTGGTCGGCCCCTTTCCCTCAGCTCACCCTCCCACCGACGCGTGCGCTTCTCCTTCGCCCCCTCCCTCATGGCAGTCCTCATTTCAGGGTGGTGGTTAAAGCTCCGACTCTGGAGCTGCCTGGTTGTGCATCCCAGCCTCTGCTTGCCTGAGGTTCCTCAGCTGTGAAGTGGGCCTATTACCAAGACCTGCCTCATAGGCTCACTGGGAAAATGAAATGCACTAATACACGAAAAATAATTCACACAGTGCTTGGCATGAAGCAAGCACTCAACCAATGTTAACTGTTATTATTGTTCTCCTCCTTTGCACCTCCAGCAAGGAGGCCTGGCAGCCAGCAGGAAGCAGGACGAAGGCTCCTTACAGGCAAGTACCAAATTTTATGGCTGGACATAGTGGCTCATACCTGTAATCCCAGCACTTTGGGAGATCTAGGCGGGCGAATCACCCTGAAGTCAGGAGTTTGAGACCAGCCTGGCCAACATGGTGAAACTCCGTCTCTACTAAAAATACAAATAATAGCTGGGGGTGGTGGCATGCCTGTAATCACAGCTACTCAGAAGGCTGAAGCAGGAGAATTGCTTGAACCCAGAAGGCAGAGGTTTCAGTGAGCCGAGATTGTGCCACTGCAGTCCAGCCTAGGCGACGGAGAGAGACTCAAATAAATAAATAAATAAAAATACAAAAATTAGCCAAGCATGGTGGTGGGCACCTGTAATCCCAGCTACTCAGGAAGCTGAGGCAGGAGAATCACTTGAACACGGGAGGTGGAGGTTGCAGTGACCCAAGATTTTGCCACTGCACTCCAGCCTGGGCAACTGAGTGAAACTGTGTCTCAAAAAAGAAATTTAAAAAAGGACCAAATTTTACTCATGTCTGCATTTCCTGGCATAGCACAGGATCTGGCACACAGTTGGTGCTCAATAAATGTTTGCTGAGTCAACAACTGAATGAATGTCACAGAAAGGGTTGGTGTAGCACGGAGCATTTCTCATCACGGTTTTGCACAAACTTGCTGCATGACTCTGGGAGAATCCCTTCTCCATTCCGAGCCTCCTTTTTCTCACCCATAAAATGAGGGGGTTGGACCAACTGTTCTCTAAAGGCCCTGCTAATATGAGGATGCTGTGATTCTGGGACACCTGCGTCCTGATCTTCAATCAGGATCCTTGTTCTCTAAGAGCACTGTCTTAGGGCCAGCCCCAACTCTGTTACCTATAAGCTGTGTCCTTAGATAAGCTATTTCACCTCTCTGACCTTCAACTTTCTCATCTGCAAAATAAGGTAATAACATCTACATCTCGTTTTGATGCCAGAATGAGCACGTGCACCTACTCTCATGTCCTCCCAAAGGGTTTTTTTTTTGTTTGTTTTTTTTTATTTTTACAAATAGAGACAGGGTCTTGCTATATTGCCAAGGCTGGTCTCAAACTCCTGGCCTCAAGTGAACCTCTTACCTTGGCCTCTCAAAGTGCTGGGATTACAGGTTAAAGAGTTTTTTTTTTTTTTGG